CGAGATGATTAATTGCATATATATATTACATGTAGTATAGCGGCATTTGAGTTTTTCAGGTTTCTCTTCTTTTTTTTTAGTTCCTCTGATTATGGCTACTTTACAGCAACAAGTTGATGTATTAAAAAAGCATGGAGTTAAAGTAAACGAGGGAGATGTTTTATGGTGTATTGATCTTCATACTGCTGGTATAGACGAACTTATAAAAAACCATGCTACCGATTCAATAGTAAATAAAACGAAGCTGGTGTTTCTTGAAAAGGGGAATGATAAAGCAGGTTTAGAACATAGCTGGATTGGACACAGCGGAGCATTCCAGACACTAAGCAACGTGCAAAACAAAGATGACGCCAGCAAATACATTCGGAAGTACATGGGATACGGACATAATGCGACTTATGGCTTCCAGAAAGATGAAAAACGAGGCGGCTTTGAAGTGGTTTATCAAGTGAATGAAAAAGAGTACCTTGTTGTCGTCTTTGGTAGCAATGGGTTTATTATCACAGCATACCCTGTCAATAAAGATCAGTTTGACAATCACAATTATTAGAAAAAATGACGATCATGCAGTTGAACAATATATACTCTATTATTTTCTGATCTTTATATATTAATTGGGAATACTTGCATTTCATATGTCAATTTATATCAAATCGTATTATTCTGATATAATGGTCTTTTAGATTTAAGTTGGGTAATAAAGCAGGTTACAATACACAACTTCATTTAACTGGTAGAATATGGTGACCGTTGTGCTTGGTTTTTATCCTTTTACGATACTGCAAATTAAATCTGTAAATTTAGAATCAAAGTAAGCAGATCAACACCATTATAATTGCTGTCGTTTACACAGGTGTCATTCGGTATATCGAGAAAAATTATCGTGAAAATAATGGTGGTCAAGCATTGCAAGATCTGGGATCGGATCGTGAATGCAATTAAGTGAAATTCTACTTCAAAATTTGTGAAAAATCTGCTGTATTTTCAAAAGGTGGAACAAATCAGAAAAAAAATTATGTCTGTCAAAATGATTCAACTTCCTTAGTAATACTGTGCACTAAGTTACCAAAAAAAATGCAGCACTTTTTAAGAAAACACAAAAGGCGACATACAATCCTATGAGAATCATCAAGAAAAAATCATGTTTTGTATCTATAATGGTCACATTCCAATATATATATCATGATATATATGAAACTTAATTTTTATTGTGTTAAATAGTCCATTAAAATAAAAGTATGTTATAACTTGAAAAAGTTCATATTATTTTTGAAAAAGTATACTTTTGTTGATTTTTAATCAAAATTGATCGTGAAAGATCAGGCAACGCATTTTTTTTTATCGTGAAAGACAAGGCGTGAACAGACTTAATGATTAGAAAACAACATTTCTTTTACCTATTGATATATACTTGTAATTGGTTGAAGCTTGCAAATAATTACTAAGAACATAAATTAATGCTTTCATTTTTTTGGTAATATATGCATATATACCCATGTTTAGACCTGTTTTCATTTAAGAGACGATGCTACATGCAACTAGGCATCCAAAATGATAATACCTCCAGGAGCGTAAATTGTCGAAAAGTGAATATCTTTGTATATACAATGCTAAATGCACCCAAGAATGGGTCTGGTGGTCTTCCCACGGAAATATCTTAAATGTGTACGTTTTTGTTATCGTAAGGGTTACGTAGATAAAGAATCTATCATTTAATTTTACATACAGGTGTATAGAAGATGTTCTTTCCATTAATAATACAAACTTTTCTGATTGTCTCGCATTAATAGTCATGAAAAAGAGATTACAGACACCACATATATAGCTTTCTCGGCCTCATTTTTTAGAAATATACCCTGAATTTGACTACAACAGTGATATCAATACCAGAGTCTATGACAAACGAGATGATTTCAATTTTGAAAGTATAAATTTTCCTCAACTTAGCAGCGATTTACCAACTTCATCCGCGTATGGAGTATATTGTTAAATGTTATCAGTGCCTGAGCAAAAAATAAATGAGCCATGGTTTAAATTGTGAAAAAAACGTCTTGTCCTTTTTCTCAAAAAGTTCATTGGAAAGTACCAAGACCTAATAGATAGATATTCAATGTCTACTTAACAAATAATACAGGATTGTCTTGAGTTTATAGATTCTAGGTGCTGACTCTGTGTAGCATTTTATCTACTTTACAGTTTTACCTTAATTTGTCTCTGTACAATTATGTTCTATTTGATCGTATGCCTCTTGACGTGGTTCGGTATATGTGCATTGAGGTTTCAGGTTTAAACTCGTTCACACGACTTTGAAACTGGTGCTCACGACTTTCAAACTGGTACGCACGAGTTTTAGTCATGTGCACCAGATCTTGAAAGTTATGCGCACCATTTTGAAAGTCATGCGCACAAGTTTGAAAGTCGTGCGCACGAGTTTCAAAGTCGTGTGAACGAGTTTAAAGTCGTGAGCACGCCATGATTTTTCAAACTGGTGCGCACCAGATGAAATCTCCGGCAATCGAAAATATTTATATTTACATGACACTTAAGGGGCTCTGTAATTATGCTTTACTATACTGACTGTATTATCAACTACAAAAACTTTTTTGTTGACTTCTTTGTTTGATTTAATTGTTAGTGTGTTTGACCGTTTATTCACTTGTGTTGTATGTCTGTGTTTACACAGTTTGGGCTGCTGGATCCCAGAAATGGCCACTTTAACCAATTATGTCTGTTTGGGTTGCTCACCCAATTTGATAATATTACGGAACATTAAATAGCTGTCATACCAGTGGGAAACCAGATTTAACCCACCATTGTCTTAGGAAAATGCCTGTGCCAAGTCGGGAAAAAGGATCTTCGTTTTATAGATACCGAGTATAACTGAGCATACAAATCAATGGAAAATAGTGCGAGACAAACTTAAGTTTTTAAACGACATAAACCTTATGCAGTACAGACAGACGGACAGACGGACTTATATTGTTATAAGAAAACTAGTCGGTGTGGAATAATCAAATAATCAGATCCAATGGCATTGAACCAGCATATCCCTTTTCACAACTAAAGTGAAGCAGAATAAGTCATGAAATCCAATCTTTTGTTTTACCAATTACAAATATAGATTATCATTTGTTTAAAGAAAGATTTGATCGTTTTTGTGGATTTTTTGACGTACGGTTGCCTATATTTGCTTCCACTCCATTTGAACTTTCGTGGATATTTGTCTCATTGGCCAGATCTCCTTACTCTTTATATTAAAAAAAAAATTTCTTGTAGTATTATAGAAGGATGTGGTAGGATTGCTCATGAGACAAGTTACCACCCGAGACCAAGAGACGTGGACCTAAGCAACTATAGCTCACTTACAGCCTTAAATTTCATATTTCTAATTTTACAATACAATTTGCAAAACACAAATATGACTTAAATGAACCAACAACAACCACTGAATTAAAGACTTTTTGTGAATATAGCAACATTTACATTATGACATCAATATATTTTTTGACGAAAAACGGCAGTAAAAGCGCTGTTCCTTTGTTTTTTGTGTTTTTTGTTGTGCATGTACTGATTTTGTGTCATGGATGGATAGCCCTTATCCTTTGCTTTTCTATTATGTGACTAGTTAACCTACTTTTATGTGTCAATAACAACAGGAGGCATTAGATATCAAACGATTTAAAACCCTAAGTAATTTTTTTCGGAGTTTTCGTTTCTTAGTTTTCTGTTTGGTGTACTGTATTGTGAACTGCTTTGTGGAGTGTTATGTGAACTGAATTGTGTACTGTTTTATAGACTGTTTTGTGAACTGCTTCGAGGACTGTTTTGTGTACTGCCTTTTGGACTGTTTCTCGAACTGCTTTGTGGACTGTTTTGTGGACTGTTTTTTGTACTGCTTTGTCTACTGTTTTATGGACTGTCTTGTGTACTGCTTTATTGACTGTTTTGTGAACTGCTTTATTGACTGTTTTGTTAACTGCTTTGTGGACTGTTTTGTGTACTATTCTGTGTACTGTTTTTTTGAACTGTTAGTTTTGTGTAATATTTTCTGGACTGTTAACTGAACTATTTTGTTTACTGTGTTATGGACTGTTGTGTGAACTGCTTTGTGGACTGTTTTGTGAACTTTATTATGGATTGTTTTGTGAACTGTTTTTGTACTGTTTTGAGTAGTTTTGTGTACTGCTTTGTTGACTGTTATGGGAAATACATTATGGGCTGTTTTATGAATTGTTATGTAAGACTGTTTTTGTCAACTGTTGTGAGGGGGTGGACAGCTTTTGAGGGAGGTGGGAGGTGGGAGAGAAAAAAAGATTCTAAAACTGGGAGGTGGGAGAAGGGTACCTCCCTGTCCACACCCTCTGTTGTGTGTACTGTTTTTTTTACCTATTTTATGAACTGTTATGCGAAATGCTTTATGTACTGTTTTGTGATCCGTTTTTTTACGTTTGCATATCCTTTCTCTATTTTGATTTGTTTTTACTTTTTAAATGTAAGATTGATTGATTGTTGGTCTTTTAATATTTTTTAGCTCACTTGGCTATATCAGTTTTTATTGATGAAAGAAGCCAGAGTGACCAGTGAGAACAACTGACCTTTGGCAGGAAAACTGGAAATCTTAGTCAATTAACATCAGTGTCAAACATAATTGCCATGAGCTGGGTTTGATTGATTGATTGATTTGTGTTTAACACCACTTTCAGCACTATTGTGCTATTTCGTGGTGGTCAGTTTTTTTTGTGGAGGAAGCCGGATTGCCCAGAGAGAACCGCCAACCTTTTGTAGGAAAACTGACAATCCTAGTCAATTGAGATTGGAGTCGAGTGCACCTGCCATGTGCGGGATTCGAATTCACAACCTCAGTGTTGACAGGCTAGTGATACAGCTAGTTCCACTCAGCCAGTAGGCCCCTAGTGATCACTGTAGATGAACTACTTGGACCATCGAGGCTCCTTCTAAATAAAAGAATCTCAGAAAATCATAAATGGCAGAAAACAGAGGAATCTGTATAATTTTATTACGTAAAATAGCTACTTAAAGCCATTGTAGATTACATATAAATATGGAGTATTCTTAATAAAAATAAACAATAACAAAACATTTACAACGTTATAACAAATACTAAATATAATTCCATGTATAATAAAGGAGTATATAAATATTTGTAGTTTTATGATGTGGACAAAAAATGTAAGCTTTGATGGATGAACAAGCATTGTGACAAAATATGAGGAAAAAATTACAATAAAAAAAGTGGTTGAGTTGCAATACTTATTGTTTGTTATTTGAACGGCAACAATGAAATGCATGGTAATGATACTAGTCCTGATATGAAAAATATTATTAAATGGTAGCTAGGAAAGATTTCTACACATAGCAAAATGAAAACTACATTCAATCAAGAAATATTGGCTAAAACAGACAAAATATGTCCAATTGTGTACACAAAAGGTGAGATCTCACATCTTCAATGTATATACAAACATTCTAAAAGTTTGGACCCTCTAGGTAAACAGTAATTTGTAGGGGGAGTTGATTATAAAAAGCAGGGCTTTACTCACCTACTGTTTTGATTTTCACAGATCAAACCAGGGCTTCCAAAATTTTTTTGAGCCAGCCGGACATCAAACATTCATTTTACTTTTATTCCCTTAAAAAAAATGAATGGCATCTGTTATGGAAGAAAAAAAGACAAAATGAAGGAGTCAGATTTAGATTATCTTATAAATATTCAGTTTAATCTTTATATCCTTTAAAGGTAACCAGTTATAATGTACAATCAACAACTTCTTTTAAAATACGTATATTTCTGGGGAATAAAATATTTTCAAATTATTTTTTATTGTCAAAATAGAAATCAGGTGAAAACTGCTAAAAATGTAAAGTTACTCATAGCAAAATCTTGGACAGTGAGAGTAATGTATTAAAAATGTGAAAAGGTATTTCTGAATGTAATTGTCAATTCAAATTTGTCTAAGAATGTTAGATCTTAGAATACTTCAACTCAACTTTGTGATTACTTCAACTTGATCTTGTGACTACTTCAACTTGATCTTGTGATTACGTCAACTTGATCTTGTGATTACATCAACTTGATCTTTGACTACTTCAACTTAAAATTGTGATTACGTCAAATTGATCTTGTGATCACGTCAACTTGATCTTGTGACTACTTCCAACTTGATCTTATGGTATCTCAACTTGATCTTGTGACTACTTCCAACTTGATCTTATGGTATCTCAACTTGATCTTGTGACTACTTCCAACTTGATCTTATGATTACGTCAACTTGATCTTGTGATTACGTCAACTTGATCTTGTTATTATGTCACCTTAATCTTGTGATAACGTCAACTTGATCTTGTGACTACTTCAACTTGATCTTGTGATTACGTCAACTTCATCTTGTGATTACGTCAACTTGATCTTGTTATTATGTCACCTTAATCTTGTGATTACTTCAACTTGATCTTGAGATAACGGCAACTTGATCTTTTGACTACTTCAACTTGATCTTGTGACTACGTCAACTTGATCTTGTGATTACTTCAACTTTATCTTGTGATTACATCAACTTGATCTTGTTATCATGTCACCTTAATCTTGTGATTACTTCAACTTGATCTTGTGATAAAGTCAACTTGATCTTTTGACTACTTCAACTTGATCTTGTGATTACGTCATCTTGATCTTGTAATTACTTCAACTTGATCTTGTGATTACTTCAACTTGATCTTGTTATTGCATCACCTTGACTTTGTATAAGAGTCAGTTTAAGTACTCCAACATGAGCTTGTATTGACATAATCACTGTTTCATTACTTCAATTTGACCTCATATGGAAAAATGACACTTTGATTTTAAACTTGACCTTTAAGAAGTCAAAATATGAACAGGTATGGAAAATAAAATGAAAGCTACATCATAAAAATATCTTATTAATAAAACAAACTTCTTTAACTACTGGACATTCTCTAAATGGTCAAGATCACTTCCATATTTATATTCAGGGTTCAAACTTACAGAATTACTAATCAATGAATTCATATATAGAAAAATATTCAACAAGTGTCAGAACACATCAATTCAAAAGTACTTTATCTTATTGGGAAATCACAGTATTTCATTGCAACCAATGCAATAATTATAGCGAAGAACAGAAAAAAGGACACTGCCATTTTTTAAGTATGAAATAAAAGAGATTTGTTTAAAAAAATTATTTAAAAAAATGTCAATTTTATTGTGCTGTTAATATTGCAAATGCTATATTTATGTTCAGAAAGTAGATCATTTTTAGACAACATCATTGATGAAGAAATAATATTTTAATAAACAAAAGTTTTTTTTAAATTCAAAAATTTTGCCAAATCTCTTGTATGAAAACAGCTTTTGTCCTAGGGTTATTTCAAAGTTAAATGTTTTGTGGTATTTTAACCTCAGACCCTCATTCAAATTTAAATTAAAAATTAAGTGCATAATTGTGTGAAAGTTGTTTCAATTCGAACCTGTTACTATAACCAAGATTACATGATAAAATATTAAGATTTAACATTTAATTATTTGTTTATCTACAGTTATCTCCCTTGCTACACTGATTGTGAAAAAATCAACTGAACATTAAACTGCTCCTTCAGTAATTGAAACATTTTCCTTGTAATTCTATTGTATATTTCAGCTTCAATATAAAAGTTACATCTGCAGGACGAAGAGAATCATTTGTAAGAATGTGGAAAAAGTTTATTTTGTAAAATATGACTTGTACTTCATGTGCTTGGTATTAAATATTATTGTTATTATGATTATGATCCTCGACCGTGGGAGATCCTCACCCCCTCCCCTTGTAGTAGTATGATTATTGTTTGTTTAACGTTCAGTGGCAATTGACGGGAAAGAAGATGAACCCCACCAAAAACTGATGGTTGATCTTTGATGCCCAGGAAAAGTAATTATAAATTGAACATCACCAAAAACTGGGTGTTGATCACAGGTGCTCAAGAAGGGTTACTAGCATTAAACAAAAATGGAAGCAATATGTATAACTTTCTGGAAGTGATCTCAACCAAACTAATAAAACTAAATTGGACTACATAACCTGGTCAATACAAAACATTTGGAATAGAGTATAACACTATTTACAACATCTGTTCTGGATCAAACTATGCCCTTGTTGTATTGTTCATTAAAACATTCATAAGACGCAGATGAGATTTTTTCCTTCCATGACCTCTTCCTCGACCTTTCTGCTTGATGTGGAATGTTCTGCTTGAATAGATAACACTGAACACACAAATGTTAATACAGTGCCCACAATACACAGGTAAAATGACCAACCTGTAAACAGAAATCATGAATTTCCTTTAATCAGATAGTCATTTTTTGGCTAAAATATAATCAACAAAAAAAAGATGAAATACAGTTTTCACATAAGTTAATGAGATTTCAATCACTCAAATAATGACACCTTTTTCAGCAGTTTTTCTTTTTTTGCCATCTGTCTCTCAATGGATTAGAGTATTAAGATTATTAATTTAGAAATCTGTTTTCATCAATACAATAACTATGAGAAGTTCATTGCAATAATTCTAAATCTGGGTTTTAATTTTGACCAATAAATCTTTTAAATGTGAACAGAATTAACTTTACTTAAACACACATCATTGTCAACTATCACATTATTCATTTTTAGAAGATAATGATGGGAGATATTACACACCTGGTATCCGGATCAGAAACCCGCAGAGGGATCCGAATCCTGAGGAGCAATTAATGGCATATGATACAGTTACAGGGGAGGTAATGACGTTGATAACAAAAAATGTTATTTTTTGCGACGTCAAACTGTGAAATATCGGGAAAAGATGCCTTTCTTTTAAGTGATTTAATCATTAGCTTGAAAACAAGTACATGGACCACTGTTTTTTTCAATGTTTGGCTTGATTATGTATGAAGATCATTTGTTCCAATTTTTAGGAAGAAATAACCAATGATTATACCGCAAAAAAAATGCCAGTTTGTTCTTTAATCATGAAAATTTAATAAAAAAGAATAATTTCCAAAGAATTTTACCACAAATTTTGAGCATACTTTAGGAAAGAGGATATTCCAAATCTGTTTACAAAAATCTGCACATCTTTTGAAACGATAAAGTTAAGTGTGTCTGTCCAAAGGATAGAAATGTCCAAGATTAGAAACAGAAATTTTTAGCTAATGTGTAAAATTTCGACCCCATTTATCTTGAAAAATAGCACATGAATGTATATTTTTTATAACATATTTGAAATGACTAGGTGAAAAACAGCTTGTATGCAACTTTTCAGTAAAAAATCACTGTGGGATCAAAACTGAATCGTATGCCCTTAAGTGAAATTCGTAAGCACAATCTGGATTCGATTTCCATGGTGGATTATGCTCCATGCAAATCAGATCCACATTTTACTTACCCACCATGTTGTGGTCTTGTGTACTTGCTCCTCCAGATTCTGATTGGGATAGTGACAATACCCAGTGTGCATTACAAAGGGCCAAGTGTTAATTAGTAAATTGTAATGCAATTTTAGAAGTAATCAGGATCAAGGATTTGTATAGTCTCACTATACAAATCCTTGTCAGGATTAATGAAATTTTCATGTATTTTTAGCAGCAGTTAGCTTTTCAAAGATAAATATCAATTGATGATCTGAGATAATTGTTTATGTTACAGCTCTGTAAGTGTGACCAGTTGCAACTCTCATCCATAGTCAGGTTCATTAAAAACCCTGTACCGGTAGTACAAATGTAGTAATATTAAATAGTGTTTGTATAACTTAATTAATGTTTGTATTTCTGTTAATGTCAACAATAGTTCATCATTGGAACTAAATTCAATAATTTAATTTGTACTGAATATGCTTTAGCAAATTTCTCTCTATAGTGTACATGTGCATCAATATTAGACATTTGATGCAACGATTTTATCCCTCAACCTTTCAAAATATTTATTAACAATCAAGTATGAATTGATTTCTGCAAACAAAGGACTGTCGATCAGCATAAATCAAGAAATTAAAGGAGTGAATCTATTTATACTGGATGTTAGGCAGACAACAATCAATGATTATTATTAGCAATCCCTTTGCTTGAAAACAATAATGTTAGAATGATTATATACTGACTGGTCCAGTGGCAAATATTGCAAATCTTCGCACTTAGAAATACTCTTTTGTGTTAATTGAAAAGTCACAAGGAAAATAAAGCAAAGAAAATGTAACAGTAGCACAATATCAATTACAGTAAAACCTGTATATATAGGTCACCCTCTGGACCTGAGAAAACTGACCTTACAACACAGGTGACCTTTGAAATATTACAAATGTATAGGTATTACTACAGATGGACAAAAAGAGGGTGACTTGACGAGACATGTTTTCCCTTAAAAGAGGTGACTTTTATAGCAGGTTTGACTGTATTACGTTCTTAATTTGGTTGGATGTTACAGTCATTTGACAGTAGATAGATGAGGTGGAATGTAATGTTTTAATTCTTGATTTGACCTTTGCCAAAACTAGGAGCAGTAAGTCTTTATTGCTGTTCTTTTTTAGAAACTAAAATCAAAGTTGCTAACAACCAATTGGAGATAATCCAGAAATTATATTTTAAAACTAATGATATCAATCTGAGGTAATACTGTTTATCATCCCCTTCTGACCGTAGAGATACAATGAGATACTTGCACTTTATTGAAATTCTTACCAAGTGAACATCTATCAATGATATATGGATCTGCATATTCCCCACAGTTTCTTTTCACCCGTGCTGTACCCCAGCCAGCAGGATATATAACCAATCCAATCACACATAATAAACCTGAAAAAAGGACAAATTGTAAATGTTGGAAGTAATTCAATACGCAATAGCATGGAAAATAAAATGATGTAAAAGACTACTGTGGATTCATTATTATTTGTTGGATTCCAATTTTCATGGATTTCCTGGGTACAGGTGAATTACAAATTCAAATGTTCAATGAATTACAAGTTTTCTACAAGGTTGCATTAAGACTTTGGCAAACCCTGGACTTAATACTTTGCAGCATGGCTGTGTAATTTTCTTCTCAATATTTTAGGATTTAACCTTACCGAGAAATCTGTAGTTTTTAAGTTTTTCTTTTTCTTTTTTTTTTAATAATTTTTAAAGGATGTATTCTTCTGATGTTTCAGTCTAGTTTGGGTATTATTTCCAAAACTTGTGATACAAGTGGAAAATATTAATGAATTTAATACAAAAAAACCATAATTAAACTAAACTCTCTGAAAAATTTGTGTACTTACAATAAGAAGTTTTTGAGTAATAAAATTTTAAAATTTTATAACCAATCCGGTCAGTGTCATCAGCCAAAATATTGAGAAAATGGGTGAGGGGTACAAAGAAATGATTTTAGCAAAAATCATGTACATCCCATGTCAATTTTTTGTTTTCAAAATTCTTAGATATGTATTTTTCAATCATTTATAACAAAGAAGTTGAAATAACATGCTTTTTGTTCTAAAAAAAGAGAAAAATCCCAAATTTACAAAATTGACATGATTGACAGCACAATCAATTTGACACAAAAAAAGCAACAATTTTTTATAAAACTTCCTTATATCAACACCAAACTATAGTTTTTTTTTTAAGTCAAATAAATATATTCAGATTGGTCCAATTCATCTGTAGTGAAAGTATGAAAAAAGTTTAATTGTAAAACTGAGATTTTCTTCATGATAATAGCCCAAAAATGGCTAAAAATTGATGGACTAGATCCGTAAAAGTGATGCCACCAAAATTCAAATTTGATCTGTGTTTTGTGGTAATAAGCATTGCGCATAAGTTTCATAACATTTGGTTGAGGCAAACTAAAGTTAGAGAACGAAAACGAAAAATTCAGCAATTTTTGCATTTCTGAAGGGGCATAACTCTAGACCAGTAAAAGTGACGCCACCAAAATTCAAATTTTGATCTGTGTTTTGTAGTAATAAGCATTGTGTATAAGTTTCATATCATTTGGTTTAGGCGAACTACTGTAAAGTCAGAGAACTAAAACAAAAATTCAGCAATTTTTCCATTTGTAAAGGGCATAACTCTAGAAACGGTAAAAGTGACGTCAGCAAAATTCAAAAAAATTATGTGTTTCGTGGTAATAAGCATTGTGTATAAGTTTCATAACATTTGGTTGAGGCAAACTAAAGTTAGAGAACGGAAACCAATTTTGGGACATACGGACTGACGGACGGGCGGACTGACGGACGTACAGACGGACAAGGGTAAACTTAATGCCCCCTCCGCCACGGCGGGGGCATAAAAATAGGAAAATCAATAAAAATGGGTACTTTCAAATGACTGTAGCTAAAATGGCTGTAGCTAAAAAACAAGTGCACCACTACATGACTTTGTCTTCATCAATTACTTTCTTAGTCTTGTAAACCCAAAAATCAGGTTAAGAAAAAAAGTTTAATATTCTAGAAATTTTTGGCTCTTCAGAGATGTACATCCTTAAAAAGAACTTTGAACATAATGTCATGAATATTTACAGATTGCCAACCTGGTATTAAAGTGTTGCACAATTTGACCCATAAAATAGTTTTATGGTCTAAATAAACATGAATTTCATAGTTTAAACCAAATCTCAAACATGTCAAAATACAATCTTAAAAGAAACCAGAATTGCAACCATTTATTTCTGTTTTAAATAAATCCATAGCTCATGTGGAGTGATGGGTTTATATTTTTAAAAATGGGAGATAACTCTAATCCACTTGCATCACTCTAAGCCTAAGATTTTTTTTTTGCGGACAATACAGAATTTTAACAATGAATACATCCATCATGTCCATGTCATTGCAATATTTTAACAAATATATGCTTAAAATTTTTGCAGAAATTTCACAGAAATTTTGTTAATGTGAGCTTATCCTCATTGTATTGGTACAAATTAGGTAAGTTTATTGTTTTGAAGCTGTCTTAAGTAGTTGTAAGATAACTTTTAATGCAAAAGTATTGTTAATTCATGGATTCAAATTCTCGTATTCAGTGGAAATTTCAGACGTCAATATGTGTCTTTGAAAGAATTTACCCAAGGTAATTAGTTAATTCCCAAGCCAAAAATTGTTTCAGCACAGAGTGAAAAAAATGAGCATGCTTTTAGCAGTTTACAAAACCTTTTTTTTTAATTTTCAATCTTGATCAGTTTTTTTAATCAACTGCTGTACTATATAGGTAAAATGTAAAACTCTTATTCTAGTTTGTTCTTATGTTGTGCTAGCTACTGTACTATATAGGTAAAATGTAAAACTTTTATTCTAGTTTGTTCTTATGCTGTGCTGTAAAATCATTATCTTCTTCATTTGAACTATTCGATAGTTAAGAAAAAGTGGCAGGGTCTCGATTATTCATATAATATTCTGGTTACAATTATCATAAATTTGATTTGTTTATCATGTGTTTATAATTTTTACAAAGTTTTTCACCGCTCTGAATTCCTCTGTTTCCTACTATTCTATATATCTTTTATATATACATGATATATAACACATTATACAATAATATTTTTAATTGAACTTATAGATAACATTAGTTTTGCTTGTGCATGTCGTAATGACGATCCCAGAGATGATTTGTTTAAACTAATTGTGCTTATTAAACCTCTTCAAATGAAGAATTTATCAAAATTGATATTCAATTCCAGATTCAGACATTAATTCTATCAAAACAATGGAAAACATGTGTTTAATTTTTATTTCTGAATAATCATCAAAATTAAGAGCCAAAAAATTTAAGCATGCATATACATAAAAACATAAAATTAAGTTATGAAAATTTAGATTGCTAAACCTAATACTATGCAATTTTTGCAATAATAAAAAGATCTCTACAAATTTGAATCAACAGTACTGTTAAACTTATTTTTGCCGAAACTTTATTTCATGCAGGATTTTCTAATTTTCACAGAAGATCTAAGTTTTACATGTTTGTGACCATTTAACATGTTTAAATGTACTATTTTTGTCTACTTGCAAACGTTACAAATATAAATAACTCAGGGAAAATGAGTTAGTTCACAGTAACCTACAGAGGCATTTTTTTTTAAGGTCAAATATATACTTTCATTGTACTAACCTGCTATACTCTGTATTAGTCCAGCAAGAGTAAATATACTTTTTCCACAGACGGAACGAACAAATAAACTCATCGCCGACATAATCATAGAAGTAGTGAGTAAAAGAGCAGCTAAGGCAAAGCATATCACAGTGGCCTTCCAAGCATGTGGGAAATCGTCATTTTCCGCTATAAAATCAGTCACAAAATTTGCACACGTTACTCTGCCCAGAGTGTAATCAAATCGTGTTAGTCTCTGGCAACGGTTAAATATTCCAAGTGTTGGTCGAAATTTTTCGATGGTAAACTGTGTATTATTTGTATTTGCAGACTGAACTTGGTGGGTAGGAAGTCCAACTAACCAATATGGGGATACGACTGATGCTACTATCATCAGTGTAATTGCTATGGAGAGCAAGGTCCAGCCTAAAGATCGACAGGTTATGATAACGTAGCACATTTTATCCAATAGATTCGTTCAAATCTTTAGTTAAAGCTTTTCACTGTCCAAATTGTTTATTTTTCTCAAATTTCTGTTTGTTTGTAGTCAAAGTTTAAAAATCCATGTCAATCCCAGAAACCACAAAACAAATTATTTAGATTTTATGGTTCATTTGTTCCTTTCTATCCTTTTCTCAATAACAATTTTCTTTCTAAAAGAATTCCAATCAGAATTTTAAATGATTCATATCAACTTGTTAATTTGTTTACAATTAATAACTTCCTGTAATTTTGGTCGATTATGGTAATAATTATGTTTTTATTAACTTAGTCGCTATCACCGATCTTTAAAATCCTGTCTGGTGATTCTTTTGTATAATCATTAATCAATATCCTTGTTCTGGTTTCTAGTACATGTACCACGAAAAACAAAATCTTCTGAACTCAATATCATTCAAACATTTTACTATCTCCAAAAACTCCACAGTCGAAATTTTTATTATAGCAATTCAATTTCACATTGATTTTTCAGAATTCATTAAATATTCTACAGGCTTTTTGGCCAATAAATCATCAAATCAAATTGAGCCACAATGCCGTGGAGATATCTGAACAAATAAAGTGTAAAATTTTCATCAATTTCCAATCTAACAGATTCCGTCACTGTGCAGTTCTGTGCACTGCTGATGTATCTTTTCCGTAGCTCTTTTCCAATAGTTATGCCGATTTCTATTATTTCTGATGAATGATAGCCTGCTGTTGTCAATTTCACATGTAAATAATGGGTTTTCTGGTCGTCCTTTTATTTCTGTATTTTTTTATGATTAGATATTGACATTAGCCAGTGATTCATTCTGAAAAATAAATATAGAATCAATAATTTACTATATTTTTTACATCAACATATGACTAATTTTACATCTTTTCCAATGCAATTTGAAAGATTTATTAATCAGAGCTTGAAATGAAGTTAACCATACAGTTTTGTCGTTAACCCATTTCTTCTTTTCACCATAGTAAAATAGTATAAAATTAGAAGATGTGGTATGATTGCAACTGAGACGACTTTCCACTGGAGACCAAATGACAAAGAAGTCAGCTACTATAGGTCACTGTATCATCGTCTTCAACAATGAGCTCTACCTGTTAACCAATAGGCAGCTACAAAAGCCCCGACATGACAAGTGTAAAATAAAATGAGAAAACTACCAGAATGACCTGATTTAAATACAAATAATGCTACATGTTCATTCCTAATAATATTTTTTTTCAATTTTAACCCTTTCTACATCTACAGCTGCAGAGGAATTTCACCAAGAACAATCAGCAGTTGGACAGCAAAAGATTTAATGGCCTCTATCAAAATTATGACAGTTTTCAGTAAAGATATAATTTAGTAAGAAGGAAATCAACAAGAAAGGGACTTGTGTAGCAAATCTAACAGTCAAACTTCTACAGTCTTAGGTCAGAAGTGTTTCAAATATCCCAAATTCCCGTTTTATTTCCCCCATTTTAGGGCAGGGGTAGCGGGATAGGACTGATCAAAAGATGTCACAAAACTTTTTTTTCTTTCTTCAGATTTTTCCTTGAAAATGTCGTATGGTTCTAGTAAATTTAAAGGATTTTATAAACATTTGAATATTTCACTTAGTTTTTGTGATTCTTTTTGAAAATAATCAGTAAATACACTTTCTAAATTCATGTGAGTTATTTTTTTATAACTTGAAGTTCCTACCCGCATTAAGAACTGCAAAATAAAAAACAACACACAATAATTCAGATCTATGAATTTATCATAGAATCATTCTTATCTCAAATGAACTTCTCAAAGTCAACAATTTTGAATATTCTAAATGTTTTCTTGATAAAAGTTTTGATAAAAATCTGATTAATCTTGAAAACATCTGATCATATTTTGCTCAGCTTGAAGTCTTTATTTTGAAAATATCAATTTAAGTTTTTCTACGACCCCCATGTGAGTGCAACATCTGGGATAGATTTATAATATGATGTAATAATTAATATTGTTTATGTATAGCAACACTGCAGTGAGGAATTTGAGTATTTTTTTATTGATTTAGGATGAAGCCTTTGACCTTCTTTGAAATCATTGATTAGGCAGCTTAGCCCAGGAGACAACAATTAAAACAAGGAAGATAGTCCTAATCATGTAATTAAAGCAAGATGTCTCCTTCCATTACATCTATACTTTCAGTTGGTTGGAAGCAGATTAGGCCAAAAAAATATGTTTGTTTCCTGCCCTCCACCTAACCCTATACATTTTATTGTTTAGACAAAAAATTACAGAAATAGCCTTTTTTTTTAGAGTAGACTACTTATTCTATTTCTTGGACTATTTAAGTGAAATTTTGTGATAAAATTGACCAAAATTGAGTGCAAAAGTTGTTATAACATTTAAATGATATCTATGGTAATTACTAGATATGTAGTAACCCGAATAATTCAGTCCCTCCCCATGATCAACTCTCCCATTCACGAGGGCCTCAAACATTTTATACGATAAAAAGGTATCATAAATCAAGGATTTTTTTTTTTTTTTATTTTTATTATTTATAACTTCTAATTTTCAATATAATATACACAAATAATAAAAATATATAATATATAAATCTATTTATATTATCTTATCAATACATCTTTTTATTAGGAAGCAATGTTTTTTTTTAAATAAACAAATATAAGATGAAGAGTAAAGCAGTCTGAACACTGGAGAGAGAGAGAGAAATAGAGAGAGAAAGAGAGTGAGAGAGAATAGTGTGGTGAGTTTTCAATACAATTCATCTAGACATTGAATTCTATTTTAGTATAGTAAATACAGCATTTTCATTTATAACATGTATAATATTAAATGTAAAGTGTATACATTTTTGTACTTCACTAAGTAATCTATCAAAAATATTCCATTCTCTGAGAAACTGATGTTCACATTTGTTTTTCATAGCAATATTTTTGTCAATTGCATACACATTATTTCATCTTCTCTTTTACTGAGTTTATTGACAGTTTTTTTTTAAACATCTGGTATTATAAACATATTGCTTTATGGTAAGAAAAAGAGTATTTTCTGCATTGCTTTTTGATATTTTTGCAATGTTACCTAACCAGAATAATTCAGTCCCTCCCCGTGATCGACTCTCCCACTCGCGAGGGCCTGAATTCTTTATACAATAAAAACGCGTCACGAACCCAGGATTTTGATTGGTGCTCTCTGTGAGAGAGAGCCAATCAGCTAATAGCTCAATGTTATCGAAATAGGTAAATCCCGAGCTAATTCCGAATGATTATTTGACGATTTTTTATTAACAAGGCCTTCAGGCGTTAATGTAGCCATCGTAGATCAGTGGAATATAACGACTGAATTATTCGGGTTAAATGTTACCAAACAAAAAACTTCTTTTGTAAAAAGTACACTAACTCCATTGGTCAGAAACCAATTTTCAATCTGTTCTAATAATATCTGTGTATGTTCACATTCCCAAAATAAATGTTCTAATGTTTCAATTTCTCTATTTGAAATTGTACAATTTGGATTATCATAAATCTTAATTTTATGAAGAAATTTGTTTGTAGCTAAGATTCAATGATTGAATCTATACTGCAGCCACTGTTACTTAGTATTATTTGTGGCAAAAAATGGCATTTTATAATTTTTTTTCCAATGATTTTGATCAATCCAAAAATTTCAGTCCATCTTAACTGACTAGTGGGAACACTTTTATTTTTATTTAAAACAATATGTATATCTTTAGATCCTTGTGAACTTTTAACAAGTCTTTTAATAGCAGATGGAATTAAAGGTAGTTCTAATTTGTATAAATCAAGGATTTTGATTGACACTCCCTAGATGAGAGAGACAATCAGCTGGTAGTTTAATGTTATTAAGATATGTAAATCCTCAGCTAATTTGGAAAAATTGATTGATGATTTTTCATTGACTAGACTTTCAAGTGTTAATAATTAGCCATCATAGAGCAGCTGAATATAACTGCCGAATTATTTGGGTTAGATATGTACTGTGGATTCATTATTATTCATTGGATACCAAATTTCGTGGGTTTCGTGGATACAGGTGAACCACGAATTTAAATGTTCAACGAAAAACATATTTTCAATGGGCTTTGTATACAGAGATTGGCAAAACCACGAAATCAAATATCAACGAATATGCAAGTTTTCTGCAATCCACGAAAATTGATATCCACGAAAATAAATGAATCCACAGTAGTACAAATCTTGATCCTACTTGGAGAAAACATGTGATTTTTTTTAGATTTTTACCACAAGAAACAATTAAATTTTTACCCACCAACCCTACTTTTTCAAGATAGGAGACAGGAAACAAGCATATATTTATAATAATGTTGGTCTTATTTGACTTTCTGTGATAGCAGTAATAGGTAGATTATTTGAATCTATGATCAGTTAAGTCTATTTTAGTCCTTATAATAGAAATCTTATTTTGCAAAGTTAGATAAAGAGTTGATCATTTGACATGTTGTAACAAACAATTTATATGCATCAGAAGTGTTGTCCCAAAAAGCAATCTCCAACAACCCCCTCTGCAGTTCTGCCAACTTTTAATAATGCAAATGCGTGTGATTTGGCCAAAATCGTAAAGATCAAAGAGAAAAAACAATAGATCAAAGTAAAATGCAGCCAAATAAGCATGAAAATGCGTGAGACTTGGCAGCCCTGCCTCTTTTGTCTCTGATAAAGCACATGTCATAGTAATAAATAAATTTACATGTAACACGGAAGGAGCTTTTGTTTAAAAGGAGCTTTCAAGCCTTTTTGACCTGGCATATTCTATGCCTAGTTTCCAATCAATAAAGGACCATAACTCCTGAACAGCAAAAGTGAAATTCTGCAAACTTGATCACTATTTTGTCATCAGTAACATCATATCAAAATTTTAAGACCATTGGCTGAAAAGTTCATAAGTAATTGCATGGAAATGACAAAGTGCAAATTTCAAATCTATCAAGGACCATAACTCCTGAACGGTTAAAGTGACAATGTCAATATTGAATTAGACCTCCATTTTATCATTAGTTTAAAAATAGTAAAATTTGAAAAGCATTGGTTGATCATTTCATAAGTAATTGCATGGGAATTGTTGACAGCGGATTGCTCGCCTTCACCAATTTAGAAACCAGATTTTTCCTTTTGGAAAACCTGGTAAAAATGGTTTCAAATAATTACTAAACATATAAACATAGTAAAGCATGAAATACTTTCTATACAATCCTCTTCAAAACACTCTAAAAATCAAACCTATAATATCATAAAATATGTTGGCGTTGATGCTGTATAATAGAACAAACACTTTAGTGGTTGGTTCCCCTTTTGAAATGTAATAAATCGTGTAAATATTTGATAACCATGTGGTTATACAATTTATTTGATATTTTTTCGAGTTATTATCTTGATGTAATGGCACTTGAGCAATCTAGAATCTGGCTGTGCTGAGTCAGTCAATATTTCAAATGATGAACTTGATTTTGCATTAAATTGTATTTGTTTCAGAATCTGACATTGACATATGTCGAATCAAATTACTTCTTCAACCTAAGATTTTTAATTTTAGTTTATCTGTTTTTCTTGCTACTTGGTGTCAGAATTTTTGTATGAACCATGCAAAATTTGCCTGTAGGGTGTCAATGCCTACAGCTGCTAATTCTACACCCAAACTTATACAGGTGCTAAGGAATTTTTTGCAACTGGTTAAATCTTTTTTAATTTCACATAAAAAAATATGATAAAAAAAAGAAAGCTTTTGAAATAAAAAAAGTATTCACTGGAACTCAGATAAACCTTAAAGGTTTGTT